AGAGACCTTGCAGGTCATCTAGTCCAACCCCCTGCACTCTGCAGGAGCATAGCCGAAAGATAGCCTACAACATACCCCAAAGATGGTCATCCAGCCTCCACTTGAAAACGTCCAGCGAAGGAGCATCCACTACCTCCCAAGGCAGTCTGTTCCACTGTTGTTAGCCGCCCTGAGCCCTGCTTGCAGGGAAGGGTGGCCTAATAAATCCAAATAATAAATAAATAAATTGCTGTTTTTAAAATAGGAAATGTTTTTTGTAAGTGGTTTTGTTGTTGTTCAGTCGCACAGTCGAGTCCAACTCTCCGCAACCCCATGGACCACGTCACGCCACGCCTTCCTGTCTTTTGCCGTCCTCTGAAATTTGCTCAATTTCATGTTCGTTGCATCTATGATACGGTCTAACCATCTCATCCGTTGCTGTCCCCGTCTTCTTTGACCTTCAATCTTTCCCAGCATCAGGGTCTTTTCCAGTGAGTGCTCCCTTCTCATTTGGTGGCCAAAGTATTTGAGCTTCAGTTTCATTATCTGGCCTTCCAGGGAACAGTCAGGGTTGATTTCTTTTAGGATTGACTGATTTGATCTTCTTGCAGTCCAAGGGACTCTCAAGAGTCTTCTCCAGCACCATAGTTCAAAAGAATCTATTCTTCAGCGCTCGGCCTTCCTTATAGTCCAACTCTCGCAGCCATACATGACTACTGGGAATATCATTGCTTTGACCATGCGGACTTTTGTTGTTGTTGTTTGGTTGTTGTTTGTAAATTCCTACATTCCTTCTGCTTCAGGGTTACTTTTTTTTTTTTTGGCCCCCCAAAGGGGATTTTTTTTTAGGGTTCCTTTTTCAAGATCGTGTTTAAAGGATCATGGAGGAAGGAAAAACACACACCTTTCATTGCAAAAGAGAAGTGAGCAGTGACTCATGGAAGCTCCTCCCCTGCCACAGATTTTGTTCATCTTCAAGATGCTCCTGGACTCTTGCTCTTTTCTACTGCTACAGACAGACTAACATGGCTACCCCTCTTCACCTTTCATGGATATGACCATGAGTAGGTAAGGGTGCTTAAAGAAGGGCTAGCTAGGGTAACTGGCCCTGACCTGGATAGCCCAGGCTAGCCTGATCTCGTCAGATCTTGGAAGCTAAGCACGGTCAGCCCTAGTCAGTACTTGGATGGGAGACCCCCAAGGAATACCAGGGTTGCTATGCAGAAGCAGGCAATGGTAAACCACCTCTGAATTGAATGTCTCTTGCCTTGAAAACCCAACTGGTTTGCCATAAGTCAGCTACACCAGTTTGGTATAGTGGCTAAGAGCAGTGGGCTCTAAACTGGAGAACTGGGTTTGATTCCCCACTCCTCTACATGAAGCGGGCTGGGTGATCTTGGGCCAGTCACAGTTCTCTCAGAGCTCTCTCAGCCTCTAAAAAAAAACAGTCTAGTTTGCCACTAGCATAATGCTAAGAGCTAGAAACAATCCTAGGATCTCCTGGCTATTCTACACACAATGCCATACGACAATTCATTAATTGGCTGCAACTTGACAGCAAGAAGGGGGGGGTTAACTTAAGGAAGTGTTTTCCCTCTATTGAAAAAGAAAGTGGGTAAAAGCTCCTGATTTACTATGTGCCTGATGCTGACACATAACATGTTCCAGAGGAGTTGTGACTTTGTGGTAGAACATCTGCTTCACATGCAGAAGGTCCTGAGTTCAATCCCTGGCATTTCCACTTAAACAAAGTCTCAGGTAATAAGTGATGTGAAAAATCTGTCTGAGTCCTTAGAGAGCTGCTGCCAGTCTGAGTAAACAAGACTAATCTTGCTAGGCAAATGGTTTGATTCACTACGGGGCAGACATTAGTTTAGGGTTAGGCCCCCGGAGGATGATGGAAGCTGTTTTGGGTCCCCATTGGAGGAGACAGGCAAGGCATAAATTAAGTTGAATCAATCAATCAGTCTTGTCTTTTTAAAATCAAGGCTTCATGTATGGAAACAAGCTGCTGTAGTATTTCATGGCATGGAGGTAAATTTTAGTTATTTAATTGCAACTGCTAATGAAGCTCAAGACAACGCATCCTCCTGGACTGAATCCAGGCCTAGGTTTCCTGTCTCATTACCAATGCTGATTTCTCCATGCCTTTTACCCCTCTGCCTATCTCACCTAAAGCCAATTGTGACTGCTATTGCCATTCACCTGTTATTGTCATTTGCCTGCTAATGTCATTCGGCATCTGAAATCACTCCACTTTCCAATATATTGGACAGATGGACTCCCATTCTAGCTGTATCTGAAGATGCTAGTCTTTAAGGTGCTACTGGACTCCTGCTCTATTATTTATTTATGTTATATATAATCCACCTTTCTCCCTTGGACTTAAGGCAGATACACAGGGGGAGTCAATACATTTGATGGACAGGGCATTCCATAAACAATGCAATAGGATGAGGGTTGTAGAACCAACCAGAAGTCTAAAAAAAGAACAGAAGCAAAGCATGAGTCTTAACATGACACATTAAGTTTTTTTTAATTACTTTTTTATTTGCATCATAAATTATTATTACATTACAATACAGTCCCCGTTCTCTTATGATGCCTTTCCCCCCCCCCTTTTATATCCCACCCCCCACAAGGTGACCATCACGTAACTTCAAATTAAAATTTTAACCATGAGCACATTTTTTTCATTTTTTCCAGTATAATGGAATTGGCTTCTCCATTATTTACCCATTGAAAGTATTCCGACCATTTCTTTTTTATCTCCTTCATCTTTCCATCCCATGCCTTATCTTGTTTAATACTTTCCAATATATCTGACTGAATATATTCATATAAATAGTCATTCCATCTATCTAAATACCACTTCAAGTTCTCCTTCCAACCATATGCAATCACAGCATGTGTGGCTAATAACATTGCTTTAAAAATATCTTGGTTTCGACTCTTGATGTTATAGTTTCCCAGTACGCCCATAAATAATAAATCTCCATCTATTTTAAGATCCACCTTACATAACCCTACTATCTTTCCC